TGAAAGTAAAAATTTAACACTTTCGATCTACATACGAGTACACAAAATGTCCGCCATATTTATTGTATATTAAATCCAAATTGATGAGCAAATTCATTCTTTGCACAAAGTTCGACACAATTTGGCCAATATATCTCAACTGGAAAGAGCCAGAAATAAGTCACTTGTTTTCAGGCTTAATAGTGGAAAAAAATCCTTGCCTGTCGATGCAAATGTTAAAGGGGTTTCCGAGAAGTAGTTACCCTTTATACACAGAATGACCTATATTACTTCGTTAGACAACGTAATTAACAAGGTCGTATCGATATTCTGAACTTATTATGGACGGGCAGCTGTAAAATAATAATTGATTTTGTCAGGATATATAAAAATTGGACAAATAAGCATTTTTTTTGTTTTGTTTAGTTATAACACAAAGGCAGCAACTCGTTATCAAATTGATGAGGATTTAAAGATACAATCGTGAAAAACAGTTGTTATAATTACGACCAAAGAATGAATACAATAAAAACACACACACGCTAGCATTTTTATTATCTAGGGAATTTTTTTTTTTATTTCAGTAATATTTTCTCATCGACCTCTAAAAAATAAAACACTCCAATAGCCATCAAGATTATATTACAGTCACACTGTTTAGAAAGTGCAAACATGTTGTAATTTTTTCCAATCTGTCAATTAATATCGTTAATAATTAAACACATTAATCAGATCAGTGTTTTTATTTGAAACAACAAAACTGAGGTTTGCAGTCAGAAAAACCAAAAACTACAATTGCCAGAAGAAAAAAAAAAAGTATTCAGAAACATAATAATTACAGCACTTGAAAATGTTAAAAATCAAAACAGATGAAATCTGATCTCTTCTCTTTATCAGCAAGGAAATCAGGTTAAAAATAAAAATAGTAGTAATAAGTAATAACCACACCCAACACATATTATAATTTCTAACACAGTCATACAGTGTGTAGTGCAGAAAAATTAGAAATTATTTTAGTAAATCAAAGCAACAAATGTATTCCCATAAAAATACAGTACTTGTCACTCAGTGACATATACAAGTCACGTTTTACGGCTGATCATTAAGTAAATTGCAACCTATTTGAATAGCGGTGTACAATAGACAGTACATTATTGAAGAAGTAAATTAGAAACCTGTTCATGATCGCGTGTGTCATGTGCCGGATTCATGAAAGCATGTGAATATTAAATGGCAGAAGCCAACTTCAAGATTAAATAGGATGAGACTTGCTGAAAAGAGCAAGCCTTTTAGTTTTATTGAGCGAAATGAACGGGCTTAATTTACATATATGAGAATTGCTTTACACCTATGGGCTTGCTAGCTTGACTTAGGGGTATACCGGGGTATTTATTTGATAAATATAAGTCAACTGACTGTGTTAGATTGGAAGTTAACATATTGTAACACATGTGATGCAGCAGCTGCATCCCGAGACAACAATTTCTGCCTTCCATCAGAGCCTTTTTCCATGCTTTGTTGAAAATTGATTTATCCATGACCCTTTCAAAGCTCTATCAAAAATTGATTTATCCAAGTTTTGAGAATGTCTGCCGTCAAATACATCATATGCCGATAATTTGAAATGTTTTAAATGACATCAAACCAAAGGATATTCTAATTCAATTATTCCCACAAGTTAATAAAGTAAATTTAGTAGACATGACAAAATTCCCAAATTTGACAATAATTTATAATGAGGTTATGAAAATAGGTAGCTGAGATTTAATTTAAAAAAAAAAAAAGTACTGTATTTGCTCTATTAGTAGTATATGCGCTTAAGTAATGGCAAATGTATGTCAAATGTCATATTTTATTATTCCAGTATACAACAAGCAGCCTATCGGCTGAGATAGCTCCGCTGTTAGCAATGCACATTTCAATTAAAGAACTGAAGACATCATTAGAAAATGAACAATATGAATAGTATCAAAGCAATCGGACTTACAGTTTTTAACAAGAAGTCGAAAATATCACTTTTTACCAAAAATTACAAAAATATTCACCAAAATAAATTAATTAGAGAATTGAAGATATCATCACAAAACGAACAAATCTGAGAGAGGTCCACATGTAGTACCTATATATGTAATATCAAAGCAATCGGACTTACAGTTTTCAACAAGAAGTCGAAAATATCACTTTTTACCAAAAATGACAAAAATATTCACCAAAATTAGAGAATTAAAGATATCATTACAAAATGAACAAATCTGAG